TCAGATGTCCAAAAGATGGCCTAATAAGGGCCCAAGCATCGATGTCCAAAAGATGGCCCAAGCTTGAAGCCTAAACTCGTTAAGCCCAACAGACTTAGTATGCGGGGCGTACTCAGCTGTATGTTAAGCTACACGCATTGGAGCTTGTACGTTGCGCGTACTGGCTTGTACGCCCAGCGTACTCCACCTTTGACCAAAAAATAGGCTACTGACTACCTACGCCCAACGTACGCCCTGGTATGCCCAACGTACGCATTGGCCATGCAAACTCTCCATTAAGAGCTTAATTCGTCCAGTCCAAACGTCCAAATTCCAGATCCAAGTCTAAAAAGGTGCTCTTAACATGAGAAAACTTCTTATTCTTGTTTGTACCATGTCCAATGACCGAGACAGAAGCAGTAGGGTTGGAGCTTTTGGTGTTAGTCAAACTAGCTTCGACGGTTTTCAACATACCATGAAACTCCATAAGGGCCTTGTTGAGATTGTTCATATTATAGTTCATGAAAAACATATGGTATGAACCAGAAAGCGACTTCAATAACATGTTAATGGCCAACTCCTTTGGAAACTCGACACCCAAATTCCCCAGTCTGTTAATGCACAAGTTCATCTTTTGAACGTATGTACACACATAGTTCCCATCGTGATGTTTACATGCCATCAAGGATTTGACAATCTCAAATCTTTCTTGGCGACTTCAAAAATAATATTGCTATTATAACATATAATTTTAAATATTTATATTACATTATTGCATACAACTCAAGTGTTTGAAACTCCTATGCAACTCAAGAGTTTTCTATTTTAAATGTAGTTTTATTCCAAATTTATTGTAATTAGTCATGCCTTTTTATTTTCCACTAAATTCGAAAGTTTTTTTTTAAAGTTATGCTTATTAATGTTTAATGTATTTTTATTTTCCACTTATTTATACACATTATAGCTATATTTGTACTATATATATATATAAGTTTTGATCAAAATATGTTTGAAAATATCTATAATTCAAATATGAAAAGAGTTGAAAAAAATGAGTTTTGTCGCATCAATGGTTATTTCAACGCGGTTTTTTTGTAACAATGTTTATATATATATATATATATATATATTATATATATATATATATATATTAAATGTATGTTGATTTCTAAATATTCCTTTTAAATGATTTATAAGTGTTTAATAATTTTTTTTGATGTAAATGTTATACTAAATGTTGTAATGTTTTTATGTTGTTAAAAGTTGTAAAAAATTTTCATATTATTTCTTATTTGTTTTATATACAAATCAACAAATGTTTTATATATAGTTGCACAACTTAGAACAGTCTATAAAATCATCAAAAGTTATAATATTTATTTTTTCATACTACTTTTTATTTTATATATATAGAAATCAACATATATTTTATATATAATTTACACAACATAAAACAGTCTATAAAATCATCAACTAATAGTAGAAATAATCAATGATATAAACTTATTACAATTAATAAAACTAATAGGTTAACTATATGTTTTATTACGCTACTGACTTTGGTTTTTGTATGTATAAATACTAAATCACAATTTGTAAAATTTTATTATTTTAATTAAATCAGGGGCGTAGTATCTATGGGGCCAGGAGGGGCAGTGCCCCCCCCCCCCCCCCATGATTTTTGGGTTAGAAGTAGGAATTATAGTTCAAAAAGAATTAGTCATAGGTCTGCTATCTTCAATCTTGGGCTTTGGCCCCTCCCGATTCATCATCAGACTCCACTAGTCCGAATTCTCCAAGCAATGTCAAGAAATCAAAATCAGTTCATCCCCATTTTCCCAATTCGCCATTCGCTGTGTCGCTGTCTCGCCTGCTGTCGTTGTGTTGCAGTCTCGCTGTCTCGCCTGGTCTCACTCTCGCCATCGCCAATTGCCCAAGTCGTCATTCACAGAAATCAGGTATGGAATCCCGAGACCCGAATCCTGTTCTTTCTTTTCTGATTGTTGATTGTTGGTGCTGCACTACTGCTGTTGTTTGCTGTTGCTGTTTCTGAGTTTCTCTAATTCTCTACATCTCTTTTTTCTGATTCTCTCTGTCCAAACTCTAAATTAGGAATTAGAGTTTCTTTTTTAACTTGGCTGTCATTTGCCAATTTGATTTATCAGTTATGAACTTATGATTTGTTTAGCTCTTCTAGTCTTCTTTCAGATTTGATTTAATGTAAGCTCTAGGACACCAAATAGGAATAGAAAAAAATTGATTTGGTTATGCTTAAAACAAAACTGAAAACAAAGATTGCTTTGGTTATTGTTTTGATTTTTTATTTATGTTTTCACTTTTCAGTTTTCACACATTGTTAATTGTTAAATAACTTATTGGTTATTGTTATAATTTTGATTTTAATTGAATCAATTGTTCCTTCATATGATTTTTCTAGATATAATCATGGGAAAGATGAAAACCTTAGATTATTGTTTCAAAAGAAAGGTAGATGATAAAGAAACTAATCATGAAAGTGAAGAGAGTAAACGTCACAAAGCTTCAACAAGTGAGCCACAACCGCAAGAAATGGAAAATCAACAAGAGAATGAGACACAACCACAAGGAAAGGAAAATCTACAAGAGAATGAGCCACAACCACAAGAAAAGGAAAATCCTAATGAAGTTGATTTGAAGAATCTAGAAAGAGATCCCGCTAAACGAAAGCAAATGTGGGATTATCCGGTCAATTTAAGGGAACAAGTGAGATGAGCTTATATGAATTTAGGACCTTTCCAAATACGTCTTATGGAGTATCAAGCTAAAGGTTCAACGAAACATCCTCATAGATTCTAATATTCTTGGTTCAACATTTTCCCTAATTGGCTAGAGTATTCTCCAACAACACATGCTTCTTATTGTTTTATTTGTTATATATTTAATGATAAACCAAGTGTGTGTCATGGTTACGATGCATTTACTGTTAAAGGATTTGATAATTGGAAAAAAGTTAATGATGGGAAAAATTGTGCGTTCTTGAAACATATTGGTTGCTCACAACATAGAAATGCTATTGCAATTGCTGAAAACTTGATGAACCAAGCAACACACACTGAAAATATCATAGTGAAGCAAAATGAAGCGCAAAGGGGAATGGAATGGATTACAAGCACTTGTTCTTAAGGATTGTCCTTATGCATATTATGTTCACTGCTTTGCTCATAGATTGCAACTAGCCTTGGTGGCTGCTTCAAGGGAAATTATTCCGGTACACCAATTTATCACAAACTTAATTTTTACAATTAACGTAGTTTGTGCTTCCAGTAAGCGTCATGATGAGTTACAAAAGGCAAAGGCAACTGAGATTGAACAATTATTGGAACTAGGTGAAATCGAATCAGGTAAAGGATTGAATCAAGTTGGGACATTAAGAAGAGCTGGTGATACACGTTGGGGTTCTCATTTTCATTCCGTTTGCAGTTTGATTGACATGTTTGCTTGTACTCGTGTTGTTCTCCAAGGAATAATTGATGACGTATGTGCTACTTATTCTCAACGCGGAGATGCTGATGCAGCTTACTGTTATCTGAAATTATTTGAGTTTGTGTTTATTCTTCACCTGATAAAGGAAGTAATAGGAAAGAATGATATACTTTCTCAAGCTCTACAAAAGAAATCCCAAGATATTCTTAATGCTATGGAGTTAGTTTCAGTAACAAAGGAGGGTCTAAATGATTTCAGAAACAAATGATGGGAGTCTTTACTTGCACAAGTAAAGTTTTTTTTGTGAAAAACATGAAATAAATATGCCAGATATGAATGCTCCTTATACTTCTACTCGATATCAGCCTCGAAAAACAGATAATCATGTTACTTTTGAACATTTTTTTCAAGTGGATTTGTTTACAGCCACATTGGACAAACAGTTCCATGAGTTGAATAGTATATTCAATGATCACGCGATGGAATTGTTAAGTCTTAGTTCTACTTTAGTTTCTAAAGTGATTAACGTTGATCAAATTTGTCTTCTTGTTGAGAAGTATTATCCTGAAGATTTTACGGAGCAAGAGAGGATTCAATTACGATATCAGTTGGAGATTTTTAATATTGATATGACAAAGAATCCAAGGCTAAGTGGTGTATCAACTATTGCTGACCTATGCAAGCGTCTTGTGGAAACTCAGAAACGTGAGACATATTATTTGCTTGATAAAGTGGTTAGGTTAATCTTGACACTTCCAGTTTCTACCGCAACAACAGAGAGAGGATTTTCAGCAATGAAAATATTCAATAACCGTCTTTGCAATAAGATGTCGGATGATTTTCTCGCAAACAACTTGGTGATTTACATAGAAAGAGAAATTGCTGAAAACATTGATTCGAAGTCAGTAAGTTTCTAATATACACCTCAATCACTAGTCTCCATATCATGAGAATATTCGCCTAGTTTCTAATATACGCCTCAATCACTAGTCTCCATATCATGAGAACATTCGATAATAAATTACATTTGTAAACTTAACTTTTTACATGCCCTTGTTCAAACAGTGAAGATGCTTAATTTCTTTAGGGTAAGAAAAACACAAAAACCAAAACAAGCCATGTTTAATAATTCCAATTTGGTTTTGGTTCTGATTTGATATCGGTTAAAAAACAAATATTAACTTTTAGATTGAATTTTGAAATAATATAAACTAAAACAAGCGAGTGTGCTAATATATGTATATCAATTTTGTTATTATAAATTAATAGTGCACATCATCAAAACCTAATTTAAACGAAAACATATTATTGACAACCCATATTTCGAGTTCGATTTTATTGATTTGAAACCAAAAATGGAAACACAAACCCTACTGGGTCTTTGGGTTAGTTTAAGTAGTTAAACCAAACAAACTAAACCAATAAACTAATGAACATCGCTACCAGATTTTCCTAAAAAAGGTTAAGGGTTCATTTGGTATATAATTAAAAAGCAGGGTTAAATTTGAAAATATATCATAAATATAACATGGTTTGGCTATTCAGTATTCACGCTAACAAAATATTCTAAACTATTCACAACCAAACCAGTCTCTTTCTAATTCACAAAAAGCAAGTCAAACAACTGGTTGGATGCATACATTTCAACTCACCACTTGAACCTGAAAATCCAATTATGAGTCGATTATTGTTGAAATTGATTGTACTACAAAGCATTTAATCCTAATCCTATTTGTACTACACACGTCTGAAGGTACATTCAATTCGTCTTTAAAGTCGTCCAAAATTCCTTCTACTACACCCAGTTTCGCAACCTGTACATCATTCAAACTCTGAAAACCCTCTCGATTTCTTACTTTTTTTATCTCTAATTTGAATAAGGTATTTTATGACAATTGAGGGGGCGAGAGAGATTGAAGAGAGCGAAATGATGGATCATACGACACCCGAGGAAAACGACGACGGCGATTCAGTTAAGAGGTTGCCGCCGTGGAACAAGCACATCACGATTCGAGGATTGGTGGCTAGCTTATTGATCGGAATCATGTACAGTGTAATCGTGATGAAGCTTAATTTGACCACTGGACTCGTACCTAATTTAAATGTCTCAGCTGCTCTTTTGGCGTTCGTGTTCATCAGAACATGGACGAAGCTCGTTCACAAAGCTGGATTCGTAACAACGCCGTTCACCAGACAAGAGAATACAATCATTCAAACATGTGCTGTCGCTTGCTACAGCATTGCCGTTGGAGGTTCTATTGCATTCAATCTGATCTATGTAACGATGTTTTCATTTTGTTAATTGTTGATTAAGTCAACGATTTCTATAGGCGGATTTGGATCTTATTTGTTGGGATTGAACAAGAAGACATACGAACAAGCTGGAATCGATACAGAAGGAAATTCACCTGGGAGTTTTAAAGAACCTGGAATCGGTTGGATGACTGGCTTTTTGTTTGTTAGTAGCTTCGTTGGGCTTTTGGCTTTGGTTCCTCTTAGAAAGGTTTGTACCTTCTGCTACTTGACTTGTACATAATATAACTTTCAGAGTTTGAACAACTTTGAAGTGTGAATTGTTTTGCAGATTATGATCATAGATTATAAGTTGACTTACCCTAGTGGGACAGCTACAGCGGTGCTCATCAATGGTTTCCACACTCCCAAAGGCGACAAAATGGCCAGGTATCCAATTTTGCATCCACGTCGTCTTCCTGTTATCAGAATTCAGAAATCATTCAGAACAATGAATTAAAAGAATTTAACATTATTTTTATTTGTACGATTTTATACAGGAAACAAGTTGTGGGGTTCACCAAATTTTTCGGTGGTAGTTTCTTGTGGGCTTTTTTCCAGTGGTTTTATTCGGGTTCAGGCACTTGTGGCTTCACATATTTCCCCACGTTTGGGTTAAAAGCTTATGCGAACTCGTGAGTGTGTATTTTACTCGTGTATATCATTTATAAATCGTGATCCGAGGGCTTGTTTTAATATAAAAAATATGTTTTTTTTTTTTTTTTTTGCAGGTTTTATTTTGATTTTAGTATGACTTATATAGGAGCAGGGATGATATGTTCACATCTAGTGAACTTGTCGTTGCTTGCAGGTGCTGTACTATCGTATGGTATAATGTGGCCGCTCATAGGTGATCGCAAAGGCGATTGGTTTCCTTCTAGTTTACCTCAAAGCAGCATGAAGAGTTTAAATGGTTACAAGGTTAGCTTAAAAAATATATAAATAAAATATTTCGATTTTTGTGGTCTAATCGTTTATTGTATTCCTAGGTTTTCATTGCGATTGCACTTATCCTAGGCGACGGTCTGTACAATTTTCTCAAGATAACCTTTTTCACTGCCAGAAACATATATTCCGCCTCAAAAAAGAACTCCAAAAACAGTAAGTTCTTAAAAGCTACATCATCAAAAATAGTCCTAGAAAAAATGTCCGGTGAGTCTTGCCCCATGTGACGAATGCAATCTTGTATTTGTCACACGAGGAATTGGAAGGACAAATTTTATAGGGTTATTATCCTATAAAGTTGCAAACACTACGCAGTCTATTCTGTCATGTCATGTTTTGTACAGACATTTTAATTGTGGTCTCTGTTAAATATACAGAACCAGACGAAAATAGCCAACCCCAAGATACCCTCCAACTAAACGAGGTATTTTTGCGAGAAACCATTCCCTTCTGGGTAGCAGCCGTCGGTTACATCCTCTTCTCTATTGTCTCCATCATCATCATCCCAATCATGTTCCCTGAGCTCAAATGGTACTTCGTTCTGGTGGCTTACATCATCGCACCATCCCTAGGCTTCTGCAATGCGTATGGAGCGGGCCTAACCGACATGAACATGGCATACAATTACGGAAAAGTTGCCCTTTTTGTCCTCGCAGCAATGTCTGGAAAAAACAACAGTGTAATCGCGGGACTTGTCGGATGCGGTTTAATAAAATCAATCGTATCGATTTCGTCTGATTTAATGCACGATTTCAAAACCGCACATTTAACCCTAACTTCACCTCGGTCAATGCTGGTCAGCCAAGCAATCGGGACTGCAATCGGATGCGTAGTGGCTCCGTTAACGTTTTTCCTTTTTTATAAAGCGTTTGATGTCGGGAACCCGGATGGTGAATATAAAGCTCCGTATGCTATTATTTACCGAAACATGGCGATTTTAGGTGTCGAAGGGTTCTCTGCGTTGCCACGTCATTGTTTACAGTTGTGTTACGGGTTTTTCGCGTTTGCCATGCTGGCGAATATTGTACGTGACACGTGGCAGAAGATCGGGAAGTGGGTCCCGTTACCGATGGCTATGGCTGTTCCATTTCTTGTTGGGGCTTATTTTGCTATTGATATGTGTGTTGGGAGTTTGGTTGTGTTTGTGTGGAGTAAGTTTAAGAAGGAAAAGGCGGATTTGATGGTTCCTGCTGTGGCTTCGGGTTTGATTTGTGGTGATGGGTTGTGGATTCTTCCTTCATCCATTCTTGCTTTGGCTGGGGTTAGGCCTCCGATTTGTATGAGTTTTTTGCCTACATAGAATTCAGGAGTTTGGTTATTTAAAGAAGACTTAGATAGTAGTTTAGAAATTGTAATAAATAGAAATTTTTGTTGCTCAAATAGTAATATTTAAATGTTGTAATAGAGGAAGCATGTCAATCAACGTTCTAACATATAGAAATTTCACTTTCTTTATTAAGTCGTTTTTGCAGTATGTCAAAATGAAACAATTGTATATAACTTACCGGATTAAGTCCTCTTCCATTAAGTCTGTTAAATAAAAAAGAAAGGAATATCTAAAAATAACAAGTTAAACTGTTATGGGTCACAATCATTGAAGGGGACATGAAAAGATGATGCACTATTTAATGAGTCTAGTCTTGATAAGCATCAAGCACAAGATGCTCTTATCTTTTGTCCAATAATTTCCATATACATCACCTTCAGTTGCAATCATACACAATAACAAGGAAAATTTAGCACCTTTTCTAGCAGCAAACAATATCGGAAGCATATATGCAATAATGCTAACAAAATAAAACTAAATAAAATAATAATATACCATTTTCGATTGCATAAGCAATTATAATAAACTTGAAAAGTGAGCATGCTTCTTGGCATAAACTTCATCACGATTAGCTTGAAATCGAAGCAGGATATCCAAAAAGACAAGATGTTTAACAGTTTGAGTCATCTTCCTTGGATTCAACAAGATATCAAAAGAGAAAGGACTTAACTAATCATATTACGTAAGAATCTATATTAGGTACCAAATGATGTGACAACTCTACATCATTCAAGAAAATAAAACTGTTCCATTTTTGTTTGATACCTTTGGCAAAACAAAGTTAAACTGATTAATTACAACGATTGATCATCAAAATTCAAAAGGCAACAACACATAGAGATGTATGAATGAAAGAGGAACAGAAATAAGAAAAATGGGGACCCAGTTGGAAAGAAAAGATATGTACCTTCAAGTGGCAGAAGAAAGCTCCAAATCCCATTAGATATCTGGACCATAGCTTGATCTTGTAATATGATTGTAATATGACATTATTATCAAGCATATCATTGCATTAAAACAAGCAAATGGATGAAACAAGATAGCTTAGAAGTCTTACCAACAAAACCAGATGAAACAGAAATATAGGGAAGAAGCTAAGAAGTTTGAATCTATCATCAGCCTGTTCTTAAAAGAGGCCAGAAACACTGAAGCTAATTCATTAGCATGAAGTATGATCACAACTTTAAGCAGGTATCCAAATAGGTTAGCTGGAGATAGCAAAAACAACTTGAAGAATTTTCACTAAATTGATGACTGAATATCAGTTGAAAGTACCACTTCCATCAGATCAAAAGTATGTAACTGGCAATTTGTCATAAAACAAAACAAAACTTTTATTTTCATCTAGAGGAATTAGGTTACAAAATCGATAGATTACAGAACTGCGAAAGAAGAAGATTTCAGTTTTCAATCAAGAAAACCTGTCTTTTGAAACACCGCGTTGCGAACACGACACAGGTCCCTCCCTTTGAGAGTACGACCAGCTCCCTCAAACACAGAAAACGTCACATACGATCTCGCCACAATCTCATGAGGCGGAACCATCTCCCCATCATCTTCCTCCTCCTCCGCCACGTTATCAGCCACTTCATCGAATTGCCCTAAATAATTAATCGGTTTGTTTTTCGGCCAAACCGGCACATTTACCGGCGCCGACTGGTGGTAAGCAGGAGAATGCTCCGAAGAACGCCTAAGCGCAACCGGAGGTATAGTCCGAGCAGCCGTGGCGGCGGATTGGGACGGACTCATCGCAGGTTTCCGTCGAACCAAGGGATGCTGATCGTCGGATAACGCAGCGTAGAGGCCGGAGTTGTATTGACGGTGAATAGGCGGAGAACTGGAAACGTTTGGTGACGGAATGTCTGAAACGTCGGAGGATGATGACCAAAATACGTCGCTCTCGTTGAACTCGAGACCACCGTTGTTGTTGTTGTTGAGATCTGGCGATTTTTCCGGTACTGTGAGTTGACCAAGAAATCGGATGGTGGGAGAAGAAGATACTGATGACGTTGGTGAGTAGGACACAGCGGAGATGCTGCCGGCGGCGGTGGATTTAGCCATGAAGGAGGCTTGTCAGTGGTCACAGAATTGGGTTGACCAACAGACTCCTCCCCCCTGTGGTGATTTTGGTGAAGAAACCACAGGGGTTCGTTAAAATGTAAACGGAAATTTTGGAAAAATAATAAAAATAAATAAATAAAAAATCAGAGGAAAAGGTTAAAATGGTAAATTCGCAATGTATGGAGCAGAAAGAGAGTGTGTTCACCGTCCTTTTAATATCTGCCGCGTGTAGTTGTTCTTTCACATTGTGTGGGTGATGTTTTTTCGCAGTTTAATAATGTAATCACTGAAAGTCTGAAACATATATTAAAATTTATTATTGATTATTTTGATAAATCGTAAAAATATAATATATTTTTTTTCGAGATGTAAGATGATGGAGCACGTCGGTATAAGTAAATAATAGATATTTTATTGTTTACCATAAATTTAAAATACAATTAATAATAAGTTAATAAACAAAAGTTTTACTGGATTGCATCAAGAGCTACCATTATCATATAATAATCACTAATTAAAAATGATAATTTGTAGGTTTATTGTTTAAAATAATAATATTCGTCTTCGAGACAAGAAGAACGAAGCATCAAGGTATAATTTAGTAATGAATATTTTGTTATTAATATAAATGTAAAATGATTTATAATAATAAATAATAAAGGAAATACTTTATTGGAATGCATCAAAGTTACTAATGTAATATAATAACCACAAATAAGAAAAACAGCATTTGTAGTAAAAGATTACGAAAAAGGGTATAGAGTTGAATAGTTTTTCTAAAACAATCAACTTTAAGATGTTTTAAATGCTGTTTATTTTCTGAATAATACACCGGCAATAGTTCGGTTGTTGTTAGCAAAGGAGGCGACAGAGATTGATGTAACTACTACATGTTCAATGTTGGTTTCCATTAAAATTACAATTTTGCACTAGTTATAACAAATCACCTGATACAAATGTGGAATGGTACAATAAGCACAGGTATCTTTACCCTAACAAAAACTTGTATAATTGATATCTCTGTTGATATTGTTATTTAGTTTCAATATATATTTTTTAGATCCACATAACTATTTTATTTGAAGTTTTTTTTGCATCAACATATATGTATTTTAATATATGTATTTGTTGTTGGTGATTTTAGTGAGATCATCACATTTAGTGTAGTAATGATCAGTGGCGGAACTTGAACAATTCATTTGGGGGGGCAAAAGTATTATAAACTAAATTAACATTCTTACAAAAAAAACAAATTGTTTTCAACAAATAAACACCAAAAACACCAAAAACTAAATTAACGTTCGAATGTCGAGATTTCCAATCAAAACGTCCTTTTCAATGAGTTTTTGATTCAGAACACCAATTTCCTCCTTGAGCTCAGAAATTGATGGGTCCGCTCCCCCTGAACTTCCTTCACCTATAGATATCCCTTTGCCTCGGGGTGAAGGGTCTGAATCTTGTTGGGCCAAAAATCTGGCAAGCCTCTCGGAGGCAGCATCATGTGCAGATTGTGGTTGAGAGGAACCCCCAGGAGCTGAAGAGCTCCCGACTTCATAAGAAGATCGAACAACACTTGGTCCTTCTCTCAAAACTTGATTGTCTTCATGGGTTGGTTGGGTTGGTGCAGCAGTTGCAGAAGATTGTTAGGCTGGCGGTGCTTGTTCTCTGATCAGCACTCCCGGCCTTGGATCGGCTCTTCTCCTTTTGAATGGAGGCTAGGAGGCTTGTTTCATAATAAGATCACTTTTAGATGGCAAAGTGGTTGGAGTAACAACTATAAGGGGAGGAATCCTTGTAGTTATATCCAGATTAGCTGAAGTGTTGGCCATCTGATCAAAAGTTGGAGGCGTCACCTTGAGAACACTACTAACTCCCTCAGTCTCCGTAGTAGATTGTACAACATCATGGACATCATCAAAAAACGCATTGAGTTCCTCATTGCTTGGCCTGAAATCATCATTCTGCTCAAAGTCGAAGAATAATTCATCATCATCAAAGTCAAGTACATTTTCCCCCAAGATTCATCACATCTTCACCTTCATCATCATCACCTGCATCATCATCATCATTCACCTCCACATCAGTCATCGGTACATGTTCTTCGGCAACAATAGCAACGGGAGGAACATGGTCTTCTTCATGCTCAGAAGCGGTAATAACATCATCTTCATGGTCTTCTTCATGATCAGAAAGAGTGACATCATCTGAGGAACTTTCTGACTCAGATGCCTCGCTAATCTCCGCAAACTGGCCAAACTTCTCCAGAGGGTACTTTCCTTGAAACACAAACTTTCCCTTGCGATTTTGCTTCATAAGACCAAAAGTGTTCACACCCAGAGATTTTAAATCCAGAGTCTCACCACTTCTTTCCAAGTCTGGGTATTTGCTGTCAAAGATCATTTGGAGAAATCTTGGATACATCAAGAACTTATCCTTCCTCTTTCCTTCTAAATTGCTCTTCATTTCGTTCAATACAAATCTTGAAAAGTTGAATTCAAGATCCATGGCAAGAGTAGCAATAGCACCAGTATTCAGTAAGGAAATCTCATCAGCACCAGATTTCCTGTCGGAGATGCAAATCACGACTGAGTGAGCAAGGAAACCCCCGTATGGTGGCAACAGCTTCTTTATTGTGGTGGGAATACTCCTTCATAACCCATCTTTTCAAGTATTTCTTCAGTCTGTTCCATAGAAATTTCAGTTTGAGACCCTGGTTGATCCTTGATTTGAAGCACTTCGCGAATCATTTGTTCAGATACTACAATCTTTCTTTCGTGGATGACTGATTCAACTGTGTCTTCACCATCTTCTCCTCCTTTATTAGTTGAAGCTTTGTTCCAAAACTGCCTGACTAAATCTTGATAAATTACAGGATTTGACTGGAAAGCATGTGCAAGACAACATCTCTTAAGTCCATGAATCATAGACCTAAATTATTGGTGTGCTGTTGGAGGATCAATCAAGAAAGCAGCAATGTTGTGATTATCGGAAAATTTCAAGTCTGCCATTTGTTCTGCACCAAACAAGCCAAGTGAGAAAACTAATGATTTAATCAATTAAAGTTGAATTTTCTCAAATTAAAAGTTGATTAGGCTTCAATTTAATTTTATTTGGATGAAAAACAAGTTTTATGGCTAAAAACAAGTTTACGGTTGGAAATGAGTTTACGGCCGTAAACGAAGTTGCAGCTGTAAACGGTTCAACAGTCGTAAACGGTCCAACAGCCGTAAACGGTGTTGATGCTGAAAATCGTTTTTGCTTCAATAATCCTGCAACGCGATCGATTCGAGTTAATTTCAACATAGTGAGGGTCGCCTTTGATGTACCTACAAGAATCAAGGGTCAATTTCCGATGAAAACAACAAATCGATGATGAAACGGTAAGAGGATTTGACGAACAGTTGAGAGAAACTGAGATGGGTTTGCGGCTGGGAACGAAAAAGTGAGTGTAGTAGGGTTTTCAGCCGGAAACCTTACCTTATATACCTGGACCATATCCGGCCCACAACCCATGGACTGTAAACCAAAAAGCTTCAAGCCCAAACCGAATACATCCAAATTTAATCAAAAATAAAACATTTTGAAGACTAAAAATTAAAATTAAAATCTAAAAAATTAAATTCAAACTAACATTTTTTTTTAATTTTTAATTTTTTTTAGAAAATAAAAATAAATAACACAAATTTCTCTTCACCATTGCTAATATTATTTTCATGGTTTTGGGATCAAAGTTTTAAGACAGCCTTAATATGTTTTTCAGTACCTCCACCTTCATGAATAGATCTGGTCAATCGCCAGTATTGTGGTCCACTTAAACACGAAAGATAGTGACAATATTTTGGACATGCTACAAGTGACAAGACTTTTGACCCTATGTTCCTAAATAATATTCCTAAAGGACCATTTGGCTGACGACGACCATGGATATTGTTTTCCACCTAAATTTAACAGCGAGATCTACAGACAACCTATTAAATGTTCAATTTTAGATGTACTAGAATGTGTTTCCCGCTTCCCGATATACCCCGGTAATCAAGGACTTTCAAAATACTCCTTACTTTAGATGAGCAAGACAATTATTAAGGAAGAAGATAGATTTTAGAAATGCATATGTCTTATTCCCAGGTCGGATCTCTTCCAATCACGCAGAGGGATTAACATATGACTAACTGGATTAGAGGGATTGAGAAATAGAATGTTGCATATGTTGTGTTCCAGGTCGGATAAAAACTTATCACGCAAAGGAGACAGCATATGACTAATAGACAGAAAGAATTGCATATAGAAGGAGATGCATAGAAACAGAGTTGCATATGTTGCAGTCCAGGTCGGATCTCATCCAATCATGCAGAGGAGGCAACATATGACTGACAGAAAGAAAGCAAGAAAATAACCTTCTACAGACCTACTTTATCGGAATTCCCCAGTCGCCCTATCAGTACCGGAATTAAGGACATGCGTCCATACATCAAGGAAAATTTACGTCACAATTCTAGATACAAATTACTTTAGTGTAGCCCGCAGATTCCCATGTATATCTCACTGCTCAATCTACCCGAGCGTCGTATTGTCAGACCAAACGGAACTATCTAAGTCAATACTTGTCAAGTCCTTTTAAATGTCAATCTATGCCTAGTCTGGTCCATTTAAATCTTTCGTGCCTACCAGCGCATTGAACAGAGAGCCTACACAGTTCAGCGTTGGTACCTTACACAAATTAAAATTGCATGTTATCACTTGGTTAATATCACTTCCCAACTAATTTCCTGCAGACAACCTCCATTAGAACATATTTTTGGATTTTTGTATTTTATGATTTTTTTTTTGTTTTGTTTTATTTCTCCCCCTAAATTTGTGCATAGGAGAGAAAGGAAAATAAATGCGCAAATTTAAACTAACCTAAAACAAAAAATTAGTCTTCAAAACGTATCATTTTGAGAAAACCCACAAGCACATCAAATCGAGCTTTGTTGAACGGTTTGGTGAACAGATCCGCCACA